GGTCTTTGATAAGCCCATCCATCTTAGATGCCACTTCTTCTGGCTCTTCAGAAGCGAGGTTATTGGTGCCCACGTGAAGGAGAACTGTGTCATACTGCTCCCCTTCTGACCAATATTCTTTAATTTTAGAACTGATTTGTTCCACTCTTGCGCCGCTGTAAGAGTGGACGACTGATTGGCAACCTGCAGCTCGCTCAATTTTCACCCGATCGATGTGTTTCACCATCGAGTCGCCGATTACCAGGACTTTTTTAATTTCATTTTTGGATCCGGTCTTCTTTGCATGGACATGGTTCTTCTTTTCCTTCTGCTGCGCATGAGTTTGGTTCTTTCGGTTTTCAAACTTCGATTGTGCCTTTGATCTATATTCATGAATCTGGCTATTTACGTACGTGTTCGTTTGCTCGTTTGAGTCTAATTCATGCGATGATATTCCGCTCTCACAATTTTCATCATTGAGCAGTTCAAACTGGTTTTGTACTGAGGTTGTAGGCGGCGTTGTTGCAGTTTTACTACATTTTGATGGATTCGGGTTTTCCGCTATTTTCAGCCATTCATTCTGCTTGACGTCGAGAATATTTTTTATGTTCTCATTGTCAGTGACAAGTTCGGATATTGTAGCTTTAAGACATTTGATCTCTTCCGTCATTTTGGAGTTTTCCTCGTGCAAGGATTTTATCCTTTCGTCCGATTCTATCGCTTTTATAATTGATTTTTCTCGGTCTTCGTTTTGGTTAGTTTTAATTTTGTTTATAATCGCTTTTATTTCTGTAATTTCGTCTTTGCGGTTCTGACATTCCTCGCAAGTTGAATGTTTCCTGTTGACTTCGGCTTCGTCTTTACCAGCAACATCAACCACGTGCTCGCTTAATTTTCGCTCGATTGTTTCGCCACAAGTCTCGCTTCTGTGGTTTTCGTCCTCGTTTTTATAGTCAGATATCTCTGTTGGGCAAACTTGTTCTGTATCTTCATCTGTGCTGGGCAATTCCGCCACAAGATTTTCAACATCAGCTTCTGAAAGCGTAGACATACTGTTCTTTGTGCGGCGAGACATTATTACAATGCACAAACTTTCGCGCAGAATATCTCGAAAAATACGTTGCAAAACAACTCCAAAATTAAACAAGTGAAATCACCAAATGGTTAGAAACAATTTGATATGTAGTTTATCCAAAAACTATAATTTAAAAGCGAGAAATTTTCGAAAAACCAGAGAGCCTAAGAGAGTGTTGCCGCACGATGGGTAACGGGTCCAGTTCTAGGAGTGCTGGTTCTAGGAGTGCTGGTCTTAGGACATTCATCTGAATTTATGGAATTGAAGTCTATAGTTCAGAACGACAAAAATTACAACTTGAAACAAGGCAACATGGCGCTAATCAGCCGAGCGTATAATGAATTCCAGTTTCTTAATTTCTTTAGTATACGCAAATTTATGCTACGGCTCAAAAGGTCAACAAATTCAAGACATTCAAGTGGTAGAATGTATTATATTATCTTTTAGACTCACCATCTAAGTTCATCAGAGTCCGCCATTTTGAAGTACTCCAGACTTGACCAATTGAAGCCCGATATACTTGATAAAAATACGCACTTTAGACTACATCATCAAATGATCGATTTATGTATACCAATGTCAAAAAATCCAAAATTGAAGCATAAAATATTAGTTTGCAAGAAAAACAATTTCTTGCAAGAAAAATCACAGTAATCTGCCAGTCGCTAAATTTTCTTCTTTCGCCCTTGCCGTGAGCCTCTACGCGCCCACTTCTGGCCGCGCGCCCGCTCTTAAAGCGACTGGGGACGAGTCTGCGAAAGTTGGGATAAAACGGCTTTTTAATTTTTATTTAATTATTATCTCCTTTTCACCACATCCCAGTATCGTCGATCAGCACTGATCGATTGCAAGAAATTTAATATCTTCGGTTCAGTGCATGCTATGAAGACAGAAATACGACCATTCGATTCAGAAATAAAAGATTCAACTAATTCCTCCCTATAGTTATAGTCATTATCAACATTGTAGCGATTTATGGGCCTTTGAAGTCAAACACGATCATATTGTATCAAATTACGCAATTGTCTGAACACTAATGTAATATCAATGACAACACCAAACACGTTTCAGTAATTATTTATAAAGTCTCTCTCATATGTTTACACGTTGACTACAAAATCCAGACAAAGCACGACTTCTGTATGTCTACATGTCTATTACTAAGATATAATGTTACCGTGTAGTGTTACCATAACTTGTCAACAAACTTAACAATCATCACGAAAGGTCAGAGGTCTATATACTACACTACTCCCTCCTTTAAAAGAGGGCGTCCTCGATCTCGACATCTTCTAAAGTAAAGTCTTGATACCGATCCGGCTGTCGACGTAAACGAGTCGAACGGCGCAGCCCTCTAACAGTAGTTGGTGTCTCTTGCGGTACAGTTAACTGTTCTTCCTCATGATGAGTTATCACCGGGTCATTGAGCTCATTGATCTTGGGTAGTTCTGAATTCGAACGACTCTCTAACCTCTTCAAACGGTTCTGATGTACCACTTTCGTCTTTGCTTTTCCCACTTCCGGCTTGATGTGGTAATTGACGCGACCGAGTTGGCGAAGTACCTCGTACGGTCCTGTCCACTCTTGGTGAAACTTACGACTTTTCCCCTTCGGTATCGCTTTACTATTTAGCCACACCCGATCTCCCGGCTTAAGCTGTGTGCTCTCGACTTTAGTCGCTTTTTCATAGTCTTCCTTTTGTCTCTTCTGGGCTAGGCTGATGTTATTCGCAACATGTTTGTGCACCTTACGTAAGGTCTGCTCGAGCTCGTCACAATAGTTTCCTGATAAGCCTCTGGTTGACATATTTTCTCCATCAATCAGTGTTAATGGAGAGACAGCTTCACGACCATAGACAGCTTTGAAAGGTGAAACGCCCGATGATCTGTGTATGCTCGTCCGATAGGCGAACAACGCTGGTTGTAGATGAATGTCCCAATTGTTGTGGTCGTCGTTAACATATGATGTCAGGATCCCCTTTAAGGTGCGATTAAATCGCTCTACTTGTCCATCGGTTTGGGGATGGTACGGCGAGGTCCGCAATTTCTTTACACCAAGGAGCTGCATTACTTTCTTCATCAGGTCAGACTCGAAATTTCTCCCCTGATCAGTCAAGATCCTGTCTGGGATTCCGTGGCGAGTAATCACTTGATCAACAAGCGCTCTAGCTACAGTTAGCCATCGGTACAGCCTCAACCCACTTCGTAAAATGGTTGGACATCACAAGTACATATTGGTTGCCTCGAGCAGTCACTGGTAGTGGACCCATGATATCCATGGCCCACAGTTCCATTGGTTTTGCAACGGGGATACTTTGCATTGGGGCTCTTTGGGTAGGAACTGGAGGTTTCCGGCGAGTACACAGCTCACACTCTGCTATCCAGAGCTGTACTTAGGATGACATCCCAGGCCAATAGTACTGGCGTTGTAAACGTTCCACACAGCGAGTAACACCCATGTGTCCCGAACATGGATTGTTGTGAGACAAGTCCAGAACATTGCCTCTCATTTTTCTCGGGACAACTAAAACCAACCGTTCATCTTTGGAACCTGGTTCTACTTGGTGATACAACACTCCGTTTACAATTTTCAGCTGGGGCCAAATTTGCCGATAGCGTCGAAGTTCTCCATCTGTTGTCCAGTCTCCAGTAGCTTCGGGTTGCTCCTTCGCTGTAGCAAGATGGTAGATCACGCGTCCAATACCGTGATCTGTGCCCTGGGCTTCTCGAAGCTCGTCCAAGGACCATTGTGGCAATATTTCCGTTGCTCCGATTCCTGCAGCAAGTTGGTCGTCATCATTCATCACTGGCTTGGTTGGATCAATCTTTGCTGGAAAACGAGAAAGAGCGTCCGCATTCCCATTTTGTCTTCCTGGGCGATGCTTTATTTGGAACTGGTATTCCTGTTAGGACAGGATCCACCTCGCCAATCGACCTTTCGGTTCCTTGAGTCCCTGAAGCCATGTGAGACATTGGTGATCCGTCACGACATCGAATGGTTTCCCAAGTAAATAAGTCCGCCAATAATTAACCGACCAAACAATTGCTAAGCATTCCTTCTCAGTAGTTGAATAGTTTTTTTTCTGTGGATGTTAAAGCGCGACTGGCATAGGCAATAACATGTTCTCGACTGCCAATGCGTTGGGCTAATACCGCACCCAGGCCCACATCGCTGGCGTCCGTGTAGATGGTAAAAGGTATAGAAAAATTTGGCAAGGCGAGGACTGGTGAAGAGCAAAGGTGATGCTTCAAAGTGGTGAAAGCCTTGTCAGCCTGAGGTGACCAGCAGAATTCCGGTTGACCTTTTGTGAGGTCATGAAGAGCGGCGGCGATACTTGCAAAATTGTTGACAAAGCGCCGGTAGTAAGACGCCATGCCTAAAAAGCACCGAACTTCACTCGCTGAGGTTGGGGTTGGAAAATCTTGCACTGCTTTCACCTTCTCGGGATCAGGCTCCGTACCTTGAGCAGACACAACATGACCAAGAAACTTTACCGACGATTTCCCAAACTGGCACTTCTCCCTTTTGAGTTTCAGACCAGCTGCCCGAATACGTCCAAGGACTTCCTCGAGAATAAGGTGATGTTCCTCCCACGTATCAGCAAATATGATGATGTCATCCAAGAAAACTAGACATCCTTTCACTACCTTAAGGATGGTGCTCATCATACGTTGGAAAGTGACAGGAGCGTTGGTCAGACCAAAAGGCATGACTGTAAACTCGTAATGGTTCACCCCAACCGAGAACGCTGTTTTCTCCCTGTCTTCCTCTCGTAACGCAACCTGCCAATAGCCAGATGCAAGATCAAGTGTACTAAAGCATCTTGCTCCGCCCAACTGATCGAGAATGTCATCGATTCGTGGCATTGGTTGCGCATCCTTCTTCGTCACCGAATTTACCCGACGAAAATCTACACAAAACCGATAATTTCCATCCTTTTTCGGCGCTAACACAATTGGTGATGACCAGGGACTAGTGCTTGATCTAATGAGACCTCGTTCTTGCATTTCAGCAACTTGTTGATTAACAACGGTTTGGAGGTGTACAGGGATTCGGTAGGGGCGTTGCTTGATTGGTCGACTGTCTCCCGTGTCAATCAAATGTTCCGTGTCTCGAGTACAACCCAACCGTTGACAAACACATCCGCATAATTCTCCAATAAGACACTCAACTTATTGACTGATGGGGTTGTAAGCTCTACAGCTAGTGGCACGTTACCACCCGGCCAGGACAACTTCGAATTTCCTACATCGACCAGCATTTTGCTAGCTTTTAGAAAGTCAGCACCCAAAATACAAGTATTAGTCATGCCAACGGCAACAACATCCTTACCCAACTGGAACTGTAGTTTTGCTTGACCAAGAATTTGAAGTTCTTCATTGCCGATTCCTCGTGCTTTCAGAGAACATGGTGTCAAAGGACCAGGGACCAATTGACGACTTACTAAAATACGGAGGCTCCTGTATCTACTAAACATTTTTGCTCACGTCCCTCAATACGTGCGTCGATAAAAACTCCGGTCGGTTGGATACAATGTATTGGTAAGGCCATATCGTTGCGGGTAGACTCGCGGCCTAATATCGGGTCGACCCGATGTAGTTTCCCTGTTGACGCGCTGCTGGGGACTGGAATCTATTGGGGCATTGACGAGCAAAATGTCCGATTTGCCCGCAAACGAAACAATAATTTTCCGTCTCGCGCTGTCGATGCTCTGTTCTGGCACGAGATGGATTCCAACATTCTCGAGCAATGTGGCCTTGATTGCCGCAACGGAAATATGCCCTGGATCGTGGCTGTGGGGGAATTCTTGATGTGACCGCGTTTACTCTGGTCATGTTGTCTGACAGCTGGTTGACTTTTTCGGTCAATATTTCCATATTTGCCATCATCTGGGTGATAATAGTTGACTGCGATTCAGGTTGATATCTACTTGCGGTCGAGCTTGCGGTAGTTTGGTTGATATGGCTTACGCTGTCGTTTGACGAAAATTTAATGGCCAAATCTAGCTGTTGCGCCGTCGACGCAAATTTTTTTTCCGTAGACAGTCGGACTCCTCATTGATAGTCGGACGCATCATTGATCCGCGTCCAGGCCTCTGCGCGTTATCGATGGATCCCTTCGTACCCTGTGTAACCCACTGGTGCACCATATATCCATCATTCCACGTTGTTCTTCGACCACGCCGGAAAGATGAACGATATGCTTCGCGATACCATTGTAAATCTACAAACTTGTTTTTCTGGTTCCGAAAATACTCAAGAACTGTTATTGCGAGTTAAAAACAAATAGAAGTATTGCAGAATACCCGTCCACTAGTAATATCACATCATGTAGCCCGGCCACTATTTCGCTGGATACGTATATATGAGATATTATTGCCTCGTTCTAAATTCCACAACTAATTACCAAGACAATATTACGAATTGATACTATAAAAGAAATATCATTTAAGACTTTTAATTTTTAATATTGTGCTTAGTATGCTTTATAAGATAATTTTTTTTCTCCCAGCGACGCTAATTAATCATAATCTGTCAAACACTAATGTCCGGTAGTTCCGGTTGTGAAGAATATATTTACATATTACACCACATTTATGATTTAAGCTCTGTATAGCATGAGAATTTAATCTATTAATGCCAACTAACTGTCGCCTTAATCTCAAAATAGCTACTTGACTGCGTATCCACTAAAATATAGAGCTACCTATAGCATGAGAATTTGATCTAATGCTAATCTAACTGTATGCCTCATTCTCAAAATAACTATTTGACTGCGTATCCACTAGAATATACATACAGCTACTTTTAACACTATGACAATTTAAGCTATTAATGCTAAGTCACTGTATGCCTCGTAGCTACCTTTACCACCATGGGATTTTAATCTATCAATCTATTTATTAATTAATCTATTGAGACTAAATATAGATGTATTGATACATCCTATCCATGATGTTTGAAAGGCATGGCTTAAAAGTGGACGGCCAGGACGGGTATTCTGCAATCGCTCCGGAAGATATTGCAGAATTTCAGAATTATGGAATCGAAAACAATGAAACTTATAAAGAGTTACAGAGGCGAAGAAAAGAGTTACAAAAAACAGTTACAAAAGCAAAGAAAAGCAAGTGGGAATGGCGAATATAACTTAGTAAAATTTGTCAGATGTCATCGCCACACAAGATATGAAGCCACAATGTGTCCTACTCAGATCTTGACATCTCAACCAAGCAATGCAATATTTTAAAATCACCAACTGCATGCGCAAGACACACTGGGAAGGCGCATCTAATAAGAAGAGTATCCGCTGAATGTTTTGTCAAAGGGCGCGGGTCAATGATGCGTCCGACTATCAATGAGGAGTCCGACTGTCTACGGAAAAAAAATTTGCGCCGCCGACACCGTTTCGCCATAGGAAATTTATCCCTTCGATAAATTGTTGTTTCAGCAGAATATCACGTTCGTTTGCGCCCAGTTTAGGCATTGCGCGTCTTAGTAATGACTCCAAATTGTACGCGAAGACTTGAATATCCTCCTCAGGTTTACGCTCTCGTTTGCGAAATTCCATCATTGCTATATGCATCCCGGTCGCATCTCCTCCGAAAGCGGCAACGAGCGCTTCACGCACATTCTTAAACGACGCTTTCTGTTCTCCTTCAAGTCGTTCAAACACGGCGAATGCTTTTCCACATAGAAGAGTAGGCAAGCGTTTCAACATAATATCCTCTTTCCACTCATTTGCCTCGGAGCAAAGCTCATATTTACGCAACCAAAACTCAATATCCCTGCCAGAAAAGGACTCCGGGAGAGCAACACTAGATCTGTTCGATGTAGCCATTTATCCTGGTCACGGCACCAATGTAATATCAATGAAAACACCAAACACGTTTCAGTAATTATTTATAAAGTCTCTCTCATATGTTTACACGTTGACTACAAAACCCAGAGAAAGCACGACTTCTGTATGTCTACATGTCTATTACTAAGATATAATGTTACCGTGTAGACGTGTAGTGTTACCATAACTTGTCAACAAACTTAACAATCATCACGAAAGGTCAGAGGTCTATATACTACACTAATATAGACTAGCCGTACCTTTCGCCGAAAATAACTTCGGCACCTTCGAACATATCGTCTTTGTAATAGTCTTGTTAAAATCCTCGTTAAAAACACTACTTAGAGTGTTATTTGGAAGCCTGTATCTTCAAATCTGTATCTTTTATCAATATATTTCCATTTCTTGCCCGACTGTGAGCTCGAAGTGAGTTAATCCCAACCGGAAATACGACTGAAAACCGTCAAAACAATGCGAAGCTTGTATCGTATGACCCTGCAAAGGCCAGAAATGGTTCGCAAGGTCAAATTGCACCTACACGCTTGAGTTTGACGTCATCCCGGCTACAGGAGCTTCTTATTGGCCAATTATTGCGCAATGTACGCAAGTGCGAGTAAAACTCGACATCTTGAAAAATTCAAAATAAATATTTCTACTCGCCGTATTCAAACAAAATTTTGTATTCAAAAAAAATTTTGTGGTATTTATTTATAAGGGGGGTAAATACTCGCCGGGATATTTATATTAGAAAAATTGTGTCGTAATATGATGCGAAAGGGGGTGGTCGAATATCGCCAAAACTAATTAACGATAATGATAATACTGTAATTCATGATAACGGTACATTTAATGGTATACTTGATATCCTTGCACAGGATATGCTCAAGTAAATTTCACGGACACGATTTTTTATTTCTGCAATCAAGAGGACCTGATTTGCATAGATTATTGATCCAGCTGTATGTGGCATTGTTCAGTCTTGACTTTATCTCTAAAGTCTAAAGCTACGACCAAAACAACCTCCAGGGTAGTATATCTACGTGAACTGCCATACATCACATTTGAAACTATATTTTACAAATCCGCCCAAAGAAAAAGTTTACGATAACGAACAAGCTAGATAACGTTTTTACACGTATTGGGCTATAAGGCTATTATTCAAAGGCTTTTAATTAAGGCTTTTATTTTTTATTTCTGTATCAATTAAATAACACAGATTTTGTCTGGTCTAGTACAATTTAAAAATGAAAATTAAAGCCCAGCAAATGACTTTCAGACAAGACATAACAAAATATAAAATTTATTGGCTAACGTTTCGTTGTATTGTTTATAACATCTTCAGAGCAATTAAACTTATTTACAAGCGTGTATTAATATTATATATATACAAATAGTTTCAAACGGTTACAGTATTCAAATATTTAAGCGAATAAGAGGAAGGATGAAAAACAACCTGTCATTAGTAAATTAATTAAAGATATAATGGTTAGTAATTAGAGACCAGCTAGCAAAGCATTAGAATAGGTCAAGAGGAGTTGACGTAATGTTGGCATTTAAAGTAGGATTAAGCTTGGATATGAAAAGGCTTTTGCGAATGAGTAAATCTGCTTCAGAACTAGCAGTGGAAAGGATTTTAAAATCAAGAGGGTGAAATTTGATGTTTAGTGGTTTTTTGTAGTTAGTCTAGTATAATACATATTTCCCATCTTATAAAAACTTACTAAAATGTGTATGTTTTTATATTTGAAATGATCCCGTATACTATATGAGTAATCATAACGGAAATCAAATTATTTTTGATCCGCTAACTCGAACATCAATATTGATGTAAAGTGGAGGAAAGCTTAAGAATAATCCTATTCACAAAACACGCAAATTGACATCACACCAAGCTATTGAATATACCACGCACTCTTAACAGCTTGCTGTTAGGTAAATATGATTATTTTAAAGCTTTGATCCAATTGTACATATGTGCTTAATTATGTTTGTGTGTTTGTCACGTTTCTGAAATATTAGCCCAGAGAGGGGAAGCCTCGGGTTCAACGAGGATAATTTCTGGTCCTGCAGGCTTCAGGAATGAACGAATACATTTAATGGCGTGTCGAATAATTGTATAAAATTTTAAGTTATCTAATAATTTTCAAATATTTATTAATATTAATAATTTTTAATTCGGGAAGCTTCGTAAATTGATGACAGGTCGAACTGATTCGGCTGTTCATACGACAATCTCCGATATAACATCCGGAGCCTTTCGTCATTCGCTCACTGTATAAAACATGTGAGCACGAAGCATGCAGTCCTCTTTCCCTCAAAGTTAACGACGTCGAAGTTAACATTTCGTAAGTATTCTGTATTTTGATTTGTTTTTCGAATTTGACTTATGGTCATGGTCATGGTTATGCCAAGACAGCCATTCATACAATTCGTGGAAACTACGAAAGTTTATGATGTAAAACGGTTTTTCTTGCGTTTATTACGCGATATGTTTAGTTTTATGCTTGATTTTGTAAATCGCAGGAATAGTTTTGTCAAAGCGCAATGAAAAACCTGTGTTTTTTGTGACAGAAATCATCTCTACCTTCTATTTTTCTACTACAGGCTGTCTCATGTTGGATATTAAATTGCATTGTGAAATATTTTTAGAGTTTGAAGTAATCAATATTCTAGAGCTTACGATTTATTACAAGGCGTCAATGCTTCGCTGTAAAAGTACACATATATAACTGAGTAAAGTATTAATTCTTGAAGGTTGCCTGGCAGTTTGCGCCAATAGTAAAAATGAGTTTGTTATTTGCGCGACAATAACAAATATCGTGTTAATTAAATTAAATTTAGTTATTGCTTAGCGCGTCACCTAAATCTCAAGTTACAAAACATGGACGTTGCAGTGAAATCATAAATATTTTGTATCACTATACTGCCATTTGATACGTGCTTGTGATTTGTAAGCGTCACATCTAGTGAACGTTGTAGCCACCGAATAGCGTACCAAACTGTAAGATAGTGCAAAGTTGAATTTTGATTTTCGGCGATGAAGACTTCATCATAGTTGGGCAGGTGACGGGTTTTAAAAACGGTTTGTGAATAACATATAACACGCAATTTATTCCGCTGTATAGAGTGGGTCACTTGAATAGCAAATACGCATATTGTCATATTAACATAAATATATATTATGTAAAGTCTATATTGGGTTTTACTTAACTATCACCGCAAACAATAAGTTTGGGAAATCACTATTGTTGAGAAAACAAACGTGCTATTTGCGTTTACTGAAGGCGCGCTAGTTATCATATTATCATTTTGTATTTCGTTGGTTTTTAACTTCTCCGTAATAACCTTCAATTAAACTAAAAGCAGGCGGTGGTATTTGATTTCTCCGGGGGAAATGCAGGGTACCAGGTTATTACGAAAAAGTAATAACCGGTTACCCGGTTGTTACACAAGAATGTAAGACCCGTACCGGATTTTCCTTTTTCAATTCAAGACCTGACATAGGTCTTGAATTCTGGGCTTGAATTTGCAAGAAAACGCAAAACCCCACATCTTCTTTTCGACTAGAAAACGCTGTACGTCTCTTGGTCGAGAAAGACACTACAGTACAGCCGTGTACCACAGAGCCCGTCAAACTCTACGATTAGGTAAGAGTATATCTATCATTCGGCGCACGAGGACTAGGTATCTGCTCTTTCGCTTGTGGGACGTGAAATGATATACTGCGCATGCTTAACCACATTAAATCGTATACTATGATGTAATGCGCATGTTACACCTTATTTCGTCCCACAACCGCAACCCCTCTCATTGAATTGATAGCTTGAATTTTTAATGAAGAAAACCTCCGAAATACAAAAGAATATGGTCTGCTGACTGATGAGTATATAAACAAGTTAAAAGCCGGGGGTATCGTTTTTTTATTAAACTGTAAAGACTTCGAGCCTTCGGATACCGATACCCGCGGCTTTTAACCTACATCTAAATAACAGCGCGTTTTAAAACATGCGCTATAAATATATATAACGTAAAAGAAAACAGATATCAACTCTACCAAGAAAAATTTTGATGGACGTTGACCGAACCACATATTTTAATTGGATTAAGCAAATATCACAAGATTCATATAATATTTGCAGCATGCAGTACCTTGCAGCAATGCTTGATAAAATGCGCTAAATGTCATAGCCTATTGAGATTTGCAACTTTCAAACAGGGTATTCAGAGAGTCAGATCTTCTCCGTGGACAATCTGGAGTATGTAATTTTACAACTTTCAACTACGTCACAAAAAGTCCTAAATGGTGAGACATCCGACATACAAAAATTCAGATTGTTGACCATACATTAAACATAACTTGTTCAACAGGACTGGCGAGAGCAAAAGAGACAGCTAACCCGCAAGAATAGTTGTGTTATCTCGCTACGCTTGCCAGCAATTAACTTAAAAAGTAAATAAACATTATCATTTATGCTATCGGATTCCTATTATGCACAC